ATGTTGTGTCATGTTAGGCCATGTTGTGTCATGTTAGGCCAAGCAATGTCATGTTAGGTCATGTTGCATCATAAAAGCCATGCAATGTCATGTTAGGCCATGCAATGTCATGTTAGGCCATGTTGTGTCATGTTAGGCCATGTTGCGTCATGTTAGGCCATGTTGCGTCATGTTAGGCCATGTTGTGTCATGTTAGGCCATGTTGCGTCATGTTAGGCCATGCAATGTCATGTTAGGCCATGTTGTGTCATGTTAGGCCATGTTGTGTCATGTTGGGCCATGTTGTGTCATGTTAGGCCAAGCAATGTCATGTTAGGTCATGTTGCATCATAAAAGCCATGCAATGTCATGTTAGGCCATGCAATGTCATGTTAGGCCATGTTGTGTCATGTTAGGCCATGTTGCGTCATGTTAGGCCATGTTGCGTCATGTTAGGCCATGTTGTGTCATGTTAGGCCAAGCAATGTCATGTTAGGTCATGTTGCATCATAAAAGCCATGCAATGTCATGTTAGGCCATGCAATGTCATGTTAGGCCATGTTGCGTCATGTTAGGCCATGTTGCTTCATGTTAGGCCATGTTGCGTCATGTTGGGCCATGTTGCGTCATGTTGGGCCATGTTGCGTCATGTTAGGCCATGCAATGTCATGTTAGGCCATGTTGTGTCATGTTAGGCCATGTTGCGTCATGTTAGGCCATGTTGCGTCATGTTAGGCCATGTTGTGTCATGTTAGGCCAAGCAATGTCATGTTAGGTCATGTTGCATCATAAAAGCCATGCAATGTCATGTTAGGCCATGCAATGTCATGTTAGGCCATGTTGCGTCATGTTAGGCCATGCAATGTCATGTTAGGCCATGTTGCGTCATGTTAGGCCATGTTGTGTCATGTTAGGCCAAGCAATGTCATGTTAGGTCATGTTGCATCATAAAAGCCATGCAATGTCATGTTAGGCCATGCAATGTCATGTTAGGCCATGTTGCGTCATGTTAGGCCATGTTGCTTCATGTTAGGCCATGTTGCTTCATGTTAGGCCATGTTGCGTCATGTTAGGCCACACAATGTTATGTTAGGCCATGTTGCGTCATGTTGGGTCATATTATGTGATGTTATGCTGTGTTGGGCTGTGTTATGGCATGCTGGGCTGCATAATGCTATGACAGGTGATGATATGGTTGTGTCAGGGCATGTTATGTTGTCCTTTCAGAAGCTCTTGTGTATTTGGATCGGGTGTGTTAAATTTGGGCTTATGGGAAATATCAGGTGCTTTAGGCCATGAACCATGACATAACAGCTTTTGCAGGATGATAAACAGGTGCCTCCCCTCATTGTCATGAACTTGATGCATTTGTGCTGTAAGAGTGTTTGTTATGACTGTGCAGTTGAAGCTGATAAGGGGCAGTGACGTATTTGTGTCGCGGTGGTGGGATTCTGTACGTGCTTTCGTAGTTCGCCGTAATACTCGACCCACTTTTCCCAGCAGCGCTGCGTCTGAGTGATTGGCAGGTCGCTTCCAGTAATGTATCATTCGGTTAGTCCTGTTGACAGGCGAGTTTGAATCGCAAGAGAGATTCCATTTAGATCCGGCCCACGCAGGGGATTGAGTTGCTGTCTCTGGTGTCTGTGAACAAGTTTGAATCATAAAAACAGAAACTTGTGGTTTCTATGGTTTTTGAATCCTGGAGACAGTTTTATCAGAACGTTGACTGTTAAGGAAACTAGTGCTGAGCTGTATGTTTCTATACTGGTATTGATGTCAGTCAACAGTATTGATTATAGGTTATTTTTGGATGAGAGAAACTCAGGAAAACAGTCATTTTCTTTTCAGCAGATGTGCTTATAAATGTTTACAATGATAGTTAAGGTTCCAGTTGTGTCATTTTAAGAGAAGAAAACAGAACAGAGCAAACTTTCAGGTTTAGAAGACATTATATAGTGTAATGTAGCAGCACTCAGCGCAATAACCTAATTAATGCTAATTTATTAACTTTATTAATCCAAACTTATTAACTTTAATAATTCTAACTTATTAACTTTAACATTGCAAACTCTTAACTTTATTAGTGCTAAGTCATGAACCTTGTTAGTGCTAGCTCATTAGCTTTATTAATGCAAATGTATTAGCTTTTTTAATGCTAACTTATTAAGTTTATTAGTGCTAACTTATTAACTTTAATAATGCAAATGTATTAACTTTATTACTGCTATGCTAAGTTGTTAGCTTCATTAACAATAACTCATTAAATTTATTTGTTCTAGCTTAAGAACTTTTATTAAGGCCAACTTATAAACTTTATTAACTATCACAATTTTCAACTTTTAATGCTAGCCTACTAACTCTGTTAATGCTAACTAATGAACTTCATTATTATTAGCTCATTAACTTTAGTGCTGAAAATGTATTAACTTTATTAATTCTATTTTTTCTATTTTTCTATTTTTTTATTTTTATTAAAGTTGTTAGCTATTAATAATAACACATTAACTTTATTAGTGCCAGCTAATGAACTTTTATTAATGTTAATGTTATGTAACTTTATTAAGGATAACTATTTTTAATGTTAGCTCTTTGACCTTATTAATGCTAAAGTATTAATGTGTATGGCTAGCTTAAACACTTAATTACTGCTAACACTAACTTTATTAATAATAATTACCCTTAATTATTATACCCCTTAACTTAATGCAGTCTTAAATATCAAGTGATATTATGTTTGGATAATATGGTGTTTTTGAATTGTATCATTATCTTCCAATGTCCTGCATCCTGATGTCTTTTCATTGATGAGTTATTAATATCTCTTCTGGTAATTATCATCATTCATGGTTTTGGCATCTGACACACAGACAGCTTGTGACCTATTTGTCATCAGTGCTGGTAAAATGATGAACCTGTCATGCAGGTATTGACGGTGGAGATTCATGAACCGTAGAGGTTGTGGAGTGTGTGAGCGTCTTTATTA